AAAGCCGGGGTTGTTTCTTCCAAGCTCGCTGCATGTCATTTCCGAAATTTTGCATTGCATTTCCGACATTTTTTGTTTTCATTTTAGAATACAATCAACACAAGTCTAGTAAAAATACAAAGTTTAGTAATAAAATGCAATAATTTCAATAATAAAACAATCAATTTTTGATCACCAAAATTTAATGCCCACTGAATTATATGTGTTTGAAAGCACCGAAAAACAGAATCCCCTCAACTTTGATTACTTTATTCCCTCAAACATAGTTTCTGTATGTCATAAATTCTGTCAACATTTCTGATCTCAAATTCAGTCTGCTTATCTTGATTTGAAAAGATGAACAAAAATTTACAACTTACACTTACATGTGTCCGAGGATAAAATCATCATAAGATTCTTTTAAATATAAGCAGAACTTATTATTTGGAAATCAATGAATTATTCTTGATTTATTCTTAATTTTTTTTATAAGGGAAATTTCAATTTTGTTTTCATTGCCGGAAAAGTACTTTATGATGATAAATGTCAGAGATGAAAATTTTAAAACGTCAGAAATGAAAACTACAAAAATGTAGGGAATGAAATAAACAATATTTTAAGAAAAATTCCGGAAATAAAATCCTATGCTAGGCTCATTTTCCAAAAGGGGGAGGGGTCTTTAAACCCAAGCTCGTTTTTCCGGGAAAAAATATTAATGCGGGAGGAAAGTCTACAACATCAGTACTTTTTAAACTATTTGACATGTATTAGCATAATTTTGCTATACCCCACCCACCAAATGTACAACAACACCATTTAAAATCTTTTCCATTGGGGGGGGGGGGGGGGGGGGTTATTGCTTAAAATGTTCAACTCGATTGACTTTGGTTTGATTTTGCCAATTAACGCACATCTTCCTTAACCAGTGTTAACCCCGGGGTAATATCAAGTAGAATGAAATAATCGTTAGTCTTTAACTGGATAAGAAACGATGGTTATAAAAACACGGGGGATATGCGACTTCAAGTTTCGTCAGGTGAGACAATAGGCCTACCCCCAAAGCACAGACATGTTGTTTTAACAACAACGGGATAGGCTAGTACACCATAACACAAGTCCCTGTCACAGTGACCCTCCAATTATTTTATAGTTCGGTACAATATGAATCGTAAGAACTACGCATAATTATTATTAATAATATAATGAAATATCTTTCGAAAGATATGAAAATTCTTTTTGGGGAGTGGAAGTCGAACGTTGTTAGGAAAGAGACTGTAATGAAATGATCATTGTTGGACTTGCGAATACCATATACTGAACAATGTGCCAGTGAAGGTATGCGTATCATACATGTATATATGTATTTTTTTTATTTTGCAATGATAATATTGATATCACTTAAACTGTAAAAGACACATGTCGTACATGATTTTCCCATAAGGTAACTCGATCAACAGATCTTTGCATCTTTATATTTTTTTTTGTTTTGTGCACTACCTGTGAGGTATGTACTACGATAAGGAGCTAACAGTTAATCAGTGCTAACATCGAATTTTGAATAATTTTTTGATAGATAATTTGAGGTTTTGTACTGAGATACATCATAGTATTAGAAATATAATTAATTAAAATTGGCTAGCGAAATCCAGCAACTTGCGAGATATCGCAAGACTTGATCCTGTTTAGTATATATACAATGTACATACATGTACGTCCCTGGAACTCCATTTTGCTGGGAGGGACACTTTTATAACAACTATACCTTAAATAATTTAAAAAGATTAATAAATCAAATTAATTTCGAATCAATAAAAGGAGAAAAATCTGCATATTAAACCGAAGGCGGACCTTTTATTGTAGAGGCAGGCCAGACCTTATATGTTATCGTATTAGGTCCCCCCGGACCTTTAAACGAGGCGGACCAAATATTATGCGACACCGGTCCCACCCGCCGTGAGCGCTACGTATTGATCAAGTAGACGGAAATTCTGTAGTTAAATTTAGTATAAAAACAAACGTCTAACAATTGGTGGGAAAAAGTTACCTAAATTACGACTCAGTGATAGGTTATATTTGTTTATAAGGTCATTATAACGACCGTAGAATTTACGGAATGCTGACTTTAAACGAGGTTTTTGAAATCCCTGTAGCATCAACTTATGTATGAGTAGCCTGTCTTGGTTTAAAAACTGATCGTACTGAAGAGAATGCTCTTGAGTAGCGAATAAGCTGGGAGACATAAACACCATATGCAGGTAATAGCGGAACATTTCAAAAAAAAAAAATAATAGGAAAGTTGAAGATGGAAAAGCTGAAGTCATCTCGTTTGTCATACAATTTAGTTGTTAGTTGGCCTTTGTCGTCTATAGTCAGTGGAACATCCAAATATGGAGCAGATGTGGCAGACTCTGTGGTGCCTTTTATTTCAAATCCACTGAGATAAATCGAGTTCCTCTGCCTTCAGTAACTCAGCTTTAATCAATCCACTTTAGGTACTTTTCAATTTTTGAGGTTATTGACTGTTTTTGACTTGAAATAAATGGAAAATGATAATAATAATATTAACTAGAAACTCATTGCGAGCAATGAGAGTTCTTCCGTTCGATTCTGGAAAACCCCCCGAAAATTCAATTTTAAAAAGTGATAAAAGAAATTCAGACACTGGAGATTTAACCCTGATCGTCAGAGTGAAAATCCAACGTGATTTCTTTGATTACTTCCTGTGACAAGCGGAAGTGACGACTGACGCGTTTAACCCAAACGGTTTCGCCTACTCCTCAAGGTCTATTACTCATAAAAGTTTGGTCTTTTAATCTTTTACCTGCTTTTGAGATCTCGCTCAGAAAATTTCTCATTTTGAGGAAAAAACACGCGACCGGAAGTGAATTTTTGAAAGCTATTTAAGGTTATCCTAGACATTTGCACTCTGAATAACATATTTAAAATTCATTTCAAATACTTCATCTATAAAGAATATTTATGGGAAAGTAAAATATTCAAATTATTTAGTTTTTCTCTTATAACCGGATGTTATCGTTTTTGTTTCTGGTGGGACCAACATCTTTCGAATCTGCGAAAAAGATGCAATAAAGTGATGCAATGTTTAATTAAAAAAAAGAAAAGTTGAAATTTCCGATTTCTTTGATCACTTTCTGTGACGACCGGAAGTGACGGCTGAACTCTAATGGTTTTGTCTACATCTTAAGGTCTGTTGCTCATATAAGTTTGGTGTCTTAATCTCTTACCGTGTTCGAGATCTTGCTCAGACAACTGACAATGTGATATTCTTTGCATGTAAAATTATATTTATAAATGCTCGTAGTAAAGACGCCTAAAATATATCATGGGTCTTTCAAAATGCAAGGATATTACAGATTTCTTTTAAAAATGAGAATAGCGCAGAATTCGCAAAGAAAACAAACGCTCAATATCGTTTCTAAAGATGAAAACATAAATTAAAACTAAGAAATTAAATGAGAAAGAAAATTCAGACATAAATTGGGAATAAACCCAGATCGCTTGCTTTAAAATTCAATATGGAAACCACTACACCAGCGCAATTTTACCATCCATCATTGATTTTTACTTTGTATCAATGCTTGAAGTAACAAGCGTGAAGGAGGATAAAAGCTTTTTTATATATATATATACGGCGGAATTATAGAATGCAAACTAGCTAGCCAAATTTTGTGCAAGCAGATTAACATCGGAATTCGTTAATTGAGTTTAATTAAACAATAACTGTCAGCAAAGAAATAATCTATTATTGATGAACTGATCATACTGTTTACTTCTTTTATTGTTATACACATATATTCAACTTTTTATTCCATGCAATTCTACATACATGTATTTCATGTCTATGTTATCTTTTTCTGCTCTTCTGTATCAGACCATTTGTCTACTATGAAAAGGGAGGGGTGTTACAATACATTATTTCGCGCCAAACGTCATGAGCAAATCTTCGCGCTTTTCTTTAAAATGTTTGTTCTATTGAATGGTTTCCATCATCATGTATCATATGTACCGTACAAATTACTTATTTTATTGCATTTGGAGGTCAGAGTATTTATGTTTTCAAAGACAGATTATCCATTTCCAAAATCTACCAGATCCACTAATTCCTGCACATTTCATTGATCCTTATGCTAGTTTCGTTCAACAAGACATTCGGTTGTTTACGGAGACGGCCGCCATTTTGACCGCTTCAAATTTTAAAATGCAAATATCTAGAGTTTGAATTTAGCAATTTTAAAACCAAATATATATTAAGTATTTTTAGAAGTGTTTCTATTAACCAAAGTAATATCAAAGAAAAATATTGAAAAACAAAAAAAGTTGAAAAAATCCATTTTTGAAATTTGCTTCCGGTGGTGACCGGAAGCATCAACGACGCACAAAAAATTGGTCAGAACATCTACAAGTCATCTACAAGTCATGCTCTATCATCTTTGACATGTCTCCAGTTCATATCTTTAGCCGTTCTAGAGGAGATAGGAAGACAAAAGTCCAATTCAAAATCAGAAAATTGGCCATTACACGGAACCAAAAGAGATTTTTTGAATTTTCTCCTCAAATGCACAAAGTTCATAATAATGTCCATTATCCCTGAAAAAATCACTGAAAACTACTGAATAGCTTTTGAGAAAACGCTTGCACAAAATATGGGAGGAAAAATAAGAATAACAACTAGGAGACTAATTGTTCTCGAACAATTAGAGGTCTTTCCACCTTCCTTAAATTTCATATATTTTTCATATTTAACTCTCTACTAATTATGTTTTTACAAGAGAAACCAGAAATTGCTTGAAAAATGGAAAAAATGAGAATTTTAAAAATTTCGAAATGACCTTGCCCACTGCCCTTGAACAAATATTAAAGATCAAAGGTCAAGGGTCACATTGCACTTGACCCCATTCTTCTATGACTTTTGGTTTTAAAGTTATAAGGTTTAATAGTAAGCGCAATGACATTAAAGGGCAATAACTCATATAAGGGGTCATCGGACCCTTTCGCACTAAATAGATTGAAGTTGTGTTTAAAGACCCTGAGGACATTAGTGAAGGTTTGATGTCTTTACGGTCTACGGTTTCGGAGGAGTAGCGATAACAAGGTTTTTAATGAAAAGGGCAATAACTTTTAAAGGGGTCAAACTTTGGGGACAAGAATGAAATATTTGAAATAGTTTTAAGAGGACATATTAAAGATGCTAAGATATATAGTATATGTTGAAAGACAAAAAAGATAGAAAAAGAGCTTAATTTCTCATTTTTGGAATGACCTTGACCTTTGACCTTTGAAATATTTTAAGGTCAAAGGTCAATGAATCTTATGCAGTTGGTCCCATGTCTCTACGACTTATCGTTTTGAAAATTTTTAATTATTTGTAAACATCAAAAACTTTCAAGGGCAATAACTCATAAAAGGGGTCCACGAATACTTTCGCATTGAAAAGATTGAAGAGTCCCCTCAATTAGTCGAAGACATCGGTGAAGGTTTTGTACCTCTACGGTTTACGGTTTCGAAGAAGTAGCGATAACAAGGTTTTTCGTACAAGGGGCAAGAACTCCGAAAGGGGTCATAGGTCATACTCGTTGGGTAGTTTTTCGAAATAACTTTTGATGTCAAGTATCATGAACTATAAAGTTTTTCGATAAGTCTTTCAGTTCAAAAGGCCGTAGCGGAAAAATAATAATAATAATAATAACTAGGAGACTAATTGTTCAGAGAACAATTAGAGGTCTTTCCACCTTTTTAAGTGTTTCCGTGTCATTTGGGTTGAGAAAAAGTAGAAAAATGCAAAAAAAGAAAAAAAAAAAAAAAAAAAAAAAAAAAAAAAAAAAAAATTGCTCCTCCAGCAGGGTTCGAACCCAAAACCCTTGGATTGAAAGGCAGGTGCGCTAACCATTCGGCCACGCATTCTGATATCCTTCGTAAGTTAATTGTTTAAGACTACAGAAGAAATGCAAGCGTATTTTTAGAATCGGTAGGGGAAGAAAGAAGTTCCGTAAAAGGAAATAGTTCCTGAATTTGCAAGCAGTATATAAAATAATAAGGGACGGGCTGCGTGAGAAAACGTTAATACTGTTCCCTAAGGAAAAAGTATTAATGGACTGTAGCCCGATTCATCGATATTGTGCGCATGTTGAATTTTTTGTTAATAGCTTTCTTGTAAGCTTAAAAGATCGGGTTCGGATTTTAACATTTCTGACTGAATATCCTGAAATAAATATGAAACATTTAAATAAGCATTTCTTTGGGTTAAATTAAATATGTGTATCACAAATTAAACTCCCAACATGCATTTTTAGAAGGGAAACACGACAATGAAAGCGAGAATTGTTTTTAATATACCGAAAATCGCTATTTCTGGAAACTGATTAATTCTAAATAAAAATCAAATAAATTCCAAATGTAAAAGAAAGAGAGAATGCTTGGTATTAAAATGTTGTATCATATCAGGAGAATCGTATGGAATCCGGATAGGGCCATGCAGTTCACTATCGCATCATCGCACCATCGAGGTTTGAGTCGATAGTGCGATGACGCGATAATGCGATGACGATGAAGCGATGGTGCGATAACGATGAAGCGATGGTGCGATGGCGCGATGACGATGATGCGATGGCACGACAATGCGATGACGATGATGCGATGGTACGATGAAGCGATAGCGCGATGACGTGATGGCACGATAGCGATGACGCGATGGTGCGATAGCGATGATGCGATGGCGCGATAGTGATGACGCGATGCTATATCGTGTCATCGTTATTGCTTTATCGCACTATCGTCATCGTGTCATCGCACCATCGCTCTATCGACTAGTACTTTCTATAACAGGATAACATTCCCAGCAGTCATTGCACAACATGGCGTTCGTTGACGAAAAGATTCAAGAATATTTCTTTAACGGATACGATAATAAAGAAATCATATTCCTTCTTTGGAGTAATTATGGTGTGAAAATAAGGTAGGTATCATTAATTGTCATAAGTTATAATAATAATATTAGTACATGTATAGGCTAATAGTTTCTCTATGAGTAATAAAGTAACTATACATTATAGTCTCATTCAAAGATTGTTTTATATGCATGTTCTACTTGTATGTATATACATGTATCTGTTATTTAAGAAATAGTAAAATTAAAATCTTCCATTTTAAGATATATTTTATGAATTATTTTTTTAAATAATTAAGCTGTAGACATTTGAAAAGGCGCATGACCAGACTTAATTTGAGAAGACGGAGATCATACAATGTGGATATGGCAATAAGGGCAATTCAGGTAGTATTGCTTGTGTTTTATTTCATCTTTCTTTTTTGATAGATTGATGAAATATAGAAAAATCGTCAATAACATCTACATTTTGATGATAGCTCATTATCTTTTATAGTTAACTCATACAAATGTTTTTCATATGATTTACATTATATTCTACTTAAAGGAAGAAATGATGTTCAGTGGACAGACTCTTGGGTGTCGTTCGATGAAACGAAGACTTCTTCAAAAACATGGCATCTTTATAGGAAGGTATATTATCTTATTATGATTAATAAACAGAATTCAAACGATGTGCCTATTGCTTATAACGAGTTTTATATAAATAAGATATTTATAATAATTTCATTTAATTCATTTCTTTGTTTAAATTTAATGGTTAGATTTAAAATGGTTGATGATATATATATATATATATATATATATATATATATATATATATATATATATATATATATATATATATATATATATATATATATATATACTGTTCCAGGGATGACGTGTTGTGTTTGTTAAGAATAATCGATCCTGATGGAGTTGATCTAAGAGCAAGTCACTGCTTGACAAGAAGAATGTATCTAAACAATGGACCAAATTATCTAGTACATGTTGATGGGTACGACAAGTTGAAGCCATTTGGCTTCGCTATACATGGTGCAATGTGTGGGTAAGTTAATGTGTATCAGTTTTTAGTGTTCATTTGAGTCATGTAAGATTACAAGAATTTATGAAGTTATAGAATTTATTATTGTTATATACTGTTGTAGCTGCGTATCAGAAAATAATATTAACTATTATTCGAAATGATCAAATTCCTATTCTTTCAGATTTTCAAGACGAATACTATGGCTTAAAGTTGCAAGAACAAACAATGACCCTTCTGTTGTAGCATCATATTTCTTGAATTACCTGGAGGAAATAAATAGTTGAGTATATAGTTTTTACAAATCATTGATAAATATATTTCTGAAATTGTATATTGCAGTTTAATTTTCACAAGTTAATTTTCTACTAAGTAACATTCTAAATACATTGTTTTGTATTGATACAGAATAAATACAAATAAAATGCATTATTTTGTAAAAAATATTTACTTGAACAAAGAAACCATAATTGTCTCAGTTCATGGTAGTATGAGTTTTCCAATACATAGGTGCTCCAAGGTGTGTGAGACTTGATGCTGGAACTGAGAATATATACATTGAGGACATTCAAAAATCTTTTCGTTGGTACCATAATGATGACATGTGTGGAGAAAAGAGTGTAATCAAAGGAAGATCGATGTCTAACCAGGTATGAATATGAAGTTTTTTTAAAATAACAATATGATTCAGTAACTTATGTTGTATAAACAGATCAGATGACTTTAATAACCTTCTAAAATCTGCACACCTAGGATCGAGCTCCAATTCCAGTTAACACTCCTGCAGTAGAAGTTAGAGTAATTTGCCCTTTGATTTGAAAATAAGGGGGGGGGGGGGGGGGGGGCTTGATTAAATCTGAATGGTCTACTACCCCAATCACAGTCAATTCAGTTAGTCTTAACTTGATGTAAGACCAAATAACTGAAGTAATTGAATACTTTTAAAATTTGCATGTGTAATCCTCATTTAAGTTTCTCTTCAAACTCTATACTTTTCTGAACATTTTTCCTGATGGAAAATTGTTATCTCATGTTTAAAATGAAATAGATCAACTCATTATTTTCAATATTACTTTTCAAAGACCAAAAAAATAAATTCTTATTATTATCTTTCATAGGCGTCATTGTGTAATCTGATACCACAGATAATTTTTAAAAAAAATAAGTTTTGCTAACTTGATACTTTCATTATTTGCATCAGTTTCATTTAATAGAGTTCAAGGTGACACAGTTCTTTTTATAGTATTAGTTATACTACAAAGCCATCAAGGTGGGGGGGGGGGGGGGGAATGGATGTAATTGCAACTTCTGAAAACACCAATCTTTTGTTTAAAGTTTTGCTGCTTTATTTGTTTATTTCATATTTGAAAAAAATGACCCCCAGAATGCACCAGACTTGTATGCATTTTTATTCTAAATTTTCTGACCTAGGGGAGGGATAACCCTCCCATACCCCTCTCTGCATCCCTTTCCAGAAACCTGTTGTCAAAAATTTGAAAATGAAGTCAGTTTAATGATTTAAAATATCTCTGCACAATTGATATACAAATTATTGTTTCTGTATCATTATGAAATTAATATATGACTAAATTATGTGATTGTTTTATGCCCCTATGATTAAAGATTGGAGGGCCTTATCCATACAGTTTTGGGTCTGTCTGTATGTTTATCTGCAAAGACTTTAATGCATTTTTTGACCTAATGACCTTCACCTTAGGGTTCGACCTACTTGTGAAAAAACTTTAACTTAGGACACAACTTCTGAATGGTTGGTGTTAGAGATTTCATATTTCTCAAGTGTACTTCTTGTAAAAAAAAAAAAATCTGTCTTTGAGTACCGACATTAAAATAATTGACCTAGGAGTTTAACCTACTTTTGTAAAACTTGGTCATAACTTTGAACGGTTGATCCTAGGGGTTTTATATTGCAGAAGTTGTGTATTCCTTGTGACAGTACCAACATTTGTACTCAATGACCTTGAAGTTTGACCTATTTTTGAAAAATCAGCCTTCAGTTTTTCACAAACAGATTTTGTTTTAAGAGAATTGAACGCTGGTGGAGAACACTGAGAGAGATGGGCATCTCCTTCTGGATACACTTGTTCAAAGACATGGAAGACCAAGGGATGTTCTCATCAGCAAATAACGAGCACATGTAAGAAGAGAAATAAATTCTTTATTTATACTTTAAGAATTTATGTGTTTATAACCTATTATGATTTTTCTGCATGTTACCTAAATCCTTATGACTTAGACTAAAGCAACCATTTATAATGAGGAAGATTTTTTTCTTAAGAAATATTAAGAAATATAAACATTTTTTAGTCAATCACAATTTTACAGGAAAAATTTCACATTGATTTAATTCTTTTTTTTTTTTTTCAAAATTGACATTTAAAATTTACCAATTTAGAGAATGCCTTCGCTTCTGCTTTATGAAAATCATCCAACAAGAACTTGATCAGATCAAAACAGAATGGAATAACCATTACATCAGAGCACAAAGACTCTATGATGATGATGGAAGTCTCCCAGGAAAACCAGAAATGATGTTTTTCCACCCTGAAATTTTTGGTATATTTCCTAGCAAAGATTTCTTTAATCACTAACTTTAATTTGAATATTTTTCGGTGTTTACCTTTCTCCTTCGATACCTTGGTTGTTTTTCACAGTGCTCAAATTAATACAGTATCAACACATTATGACTTCATTTTTTTTTATGTACAGGTGCAGTAGATTATAAATTTCCAGTGGATATTCATGACGTGCTAGAGTTTCAAAGATTATTTCCTAGTCCAAGCTCGACAGGATGTTGTGAGGACTATGCAGCATACTTTGAGCATTTGCTTTTGGAGGGTGGGAGAACTGTTCCAAACACCACTGAGAAGGCCATGGAGGCTTTGAAGTACTTGGTTGAAAAGTTGTAAAATCCAAATTAAGAGCACAGAGAATAAATCATCACCTTATGTTTCACTCGACTTTTTTTTTTTCGATTTTCATGAAAAATGTTGTACATGTACACTAATCATCTAAGTGTATGAATTAAAAGTCACAAACAGAAATTATTACTATGTTTATTGGGTGATCATACATGCCATATTCATTGGAACAACTATTAATGAAAATTGCAAAATGAGGATACAAGGAAAGCAAACTGCTCTGAGAAAAACTTTTATGCATACAGATGCAACAATCTAGAATTTAAAAATCAAAAGCATGCTTACAGTACCACAAATACACCAAATATCAATTAATATTCCCATACAAAAATCAATGTCTTTTTGTATTATCTTTCCCTGAAGAAATACTCCTCATATGATTATCAATGCCCTTTAGTATTATCTTTCCCTTAAGAAATACTCTTATTCTTTCATATGACTATCACTGCCATTATTGAGTTTAAAAATAAATTGGAGAAAACTTTCAAAACATAGATATACATGTAGCACTGAATACATAAAGTTTATTTTGTCTTAAGCAAGATGGAATTCCCCCCCACAAGTGATTGCCAACTCCATTTTTCTGTGAAATTCCTCAGGGGTTTCTCCCCTAGATATTTCCAACAAAAGATCGCAGGTATGTGCAACTGGCAAACGGGCAGGGTCTTCCACAAATTTAATTTCAAGCTTTTTGTGAAATCCTAGTGGAGGGATTGTGTCAGCTCCAGTCCAAAATGCCAAGAGCATGTTTAGATTAATTTCAGATGTATCTTCTGAAAGAAAAGGAAAATAAAGGGATGAGTTAGAAATACATGTTAAGTAGTATAGAACTTGCAAATAGTGACTAAGAAAAGCATTATTGCCTCTTAAGGTCATACGCAACTTGCATATACATGTACCTTACCAACCATTTTCCAGGATATTCCTAATTCAAAATTATAGAATCTCATCAGGTGTTTTAAGACAAAAAAAAAAAAAACAGCATACATTACCAGGAGTTTTAAAAAGATGTCAAAGATCAAATGATGAAAATCATTGTATTTTCTCAAAGAAAAAATTAACAAAAATATAGTTTTAGCTGGTATTTTCTCAGCTTTTGCTTATCAAGAGCCCCACCCTTATACCAGCGGATCTGACCCAGGGGTCATGATATTCACTACTCTGAAAGAAGCGCTCTTGCTCATCATAACTATACACTTAACTTCTTTGCTTTTTAACCAGAAGCAGAAAAGAATATTTTCAAAGAAACTATGCTTTTTCACTATATAATCAACAGAGCACCTCCCCCCCCCCTCCCCTTTTCACCAGAAACCTTGACCCTGGGCCATGAATTTCATAATTTGGAAGAGGCATCCTTGCATATCATAACAATGTACTTAGTTTGTTTAAATAATACCTACGAGCAGAGAAGAAGATTTTTGAATAATTTAATGCATTTTCACTATATCATCAATAGAGCCCCGCCCTTACACCAGAACCCCTGACCCTGGGGCCATGAATTTCACAATTTTGGTAGAGGGCTCAATGCTTATTACAATCATGCCAACAGTTTGACGGCTTCATGTCCAGGAATAAAGAAGAAGATTTTTAAAGATTGCTTTAATTTTGGTGGTTTTAGCTCCACCCCTCAGGCCACAGGGGGACAGGGACCATGAAATTCATAATTTTTGTCCTACTTCATCCATAGATGCTATATGCCAAAATTGATTGTTTATGAGAAGAAGCTGAAAATGTTCAAAAGTTTACAACCGACAGACAAGAACGACGACAGACAAAAACGGGTAGCAATAGGTCACCTGAGTGACTCAGGTGACCTAAAAATTGCCATGCCCTCAAGTTCTCTCAATCTTTGAATTTACAATATAATTTTAGTAAAGAAATAATCCCTTTATTTTAATAATGTCTGATTAACTGAAAATCTTATAAAAATAAATCAATCAAATAAGAAACATTATATTGCTGTACTTGGTCTGTGAACATAAATTCCACCCCACAAAACAATCCGAACAAAAATATCTTTGACTTAAATAATGTTTAAGTTGAGAGTAAAAATTGGTACACAAGGGTTTTTCTATGACATCTATGAACTTGCATCATTTCACAGATAAACAGTCATGTACTTAATTCTTTATACCTGAACAATCTTGCAGGAACAGTTCAAAAGCATACATTGTATCTTCTTCTCTCTTTTTGTCATTTGATCCATCTTCACTGTAGTTAATCTGTATAATTTCTTTCAGTTTCTGCATGGTTAACATGCTGTTGGACAAAGTGTGAAGAAAAAGTCCCCTTATTTCCTCAGAATTGCTCTTCATAAGTGTGTAGAACCCTAAACTATTCAATCCTTGGCTGAACTGTGCAATTTCTGCATGGATTCTTAAAGAAATATTGATAGGATATGTAGTTACTGGTATATTGGCAAGAAAAAAAGCTTCAATATCTTTCATTGATGTTTTAAAACAGATATTGGTGGGATAATTAAGGTGTATGAAAATCAATACAGATAAATACAATGTATTTGTGAACCAAAAAAAATGATATAAAATCACCTTAGGTAACATGACTCTTCAATAGCTGTCTCACCATAGTGTCTCTCTTATGTTCTGTGTATGGTGGAATGATACCATACACTCCATGTTCTACCAACCAATCCATCGAAAGAGACAATTCTTCGTCATCTGCAGTTTGCAGCTGTAAGCATATTAGAGTAAATCTTACTGTATTATTAAATGTTAAGATTTTTTTTTCCACATTTATTTCCCAGACCTATAACATTAAAGATGATATATAGGGTAGCTACCAGGGATGGGGCCCTGACTAAGCTCCCTCTATAACAATATATAATAATAATCCCTACAGCACCACGCAGGGTGCTAAATATCTAAATATCTAAATCTAAATACAATGTCCCACATAATTTATTCATATCATACATTCAATATGTATATTAATTAAATTGTATAACATATAAAAACAAAGAATATTTATCCGGATACAATTTTGATTTTAAACATTGTAGTATAGATCTATACAGTCATGTAAGTTCAGTTAACTTTCAAACACTTGCAACTGTTTTCTCATTTTGTTTCAGATGAATAAAAAAATGTATACCTTATGTATTTTATTTCTGACATCAAGGTCTATGACATCATCTATTGAATACACAACATCTTTGGGTTCAATAAGAAGCTGGTAAACAGTTGGATTTAGATATGGAATACCTGGCCCCCCATGGAGAATACTCCATACCACCAATCTTCCAGCCTTGAAAAACATCTCTTTTTCTAACAGTGGCACAGAGTGTATAAACGACTTGTTATATGGTTCCCCTTCCAGAATGGTACTAGCCAGTTCCTTCATAAGACAACTAAAATACAAACTCAGATTTAAGTGCAATTTCAATAAACAACTGCAGACTAAACAATTTCATGAATTCATTATTCTTTTACTAATCATTACCGGTGCCTTTATAATAAATTTACTTTCCTGTTTTTAAATAAGTAGGAGTTTATGTAATTAATGTGGCATCATAGGAGCTTTCCTAAATAACTTGATATTATTGAGATGGTCAGCATCTCAAAGGGACCCACTTTTATACTAGTATTAGTTAAGGTCATTATGATCAAGGGGCATGTAAAATACAGTACTGCAAGTATTTGGAATTTGCCCATAACTTTCAACTAACACTTTTACCTATATGGACACACTCTGGATGAGAAAGGAGTCAGAAGGACCAAAAGGGAAAGAAAATATCTCCTTTGACCATGCATGGGTTTGATCTAGAAATTTAATTCAAGGACACCACACAATCTTTATGCACACACTCTACAGATGAAGCTGGAGCACTATTGGGCAAAGGGGAGAGAAAATATGTGCTCCAGACAAATGTTACAATCAGAATTTTTTTTTTAATTTGAATGAGGTACAAGGACTACACTGCTCCACTGAACACATTAGCCCAGAGAAGTAGAAATCCATTCAGTATTGAAAAGTTTAAATATAAAAGAAGTCCCAACTTACTCCTTGGGGATGATTTAAACAAACTTAAATCTACACTTACTGAGGATGCTTCTAAATTTATTTGATTAATCATGGCTTTAGAAGACTTTATAGGTTTTTTCCTGTATTGAATATTATTTTCAACTGTGGCCCCCGCCCAAGCCCCAAAGGGTCATAATTTCAACATTTCCCAAACTTAAATCTACACTATCTAAGGATGCTTCTGTATTAATTAGAAATTATCATGGCCTTGCTGTTAAGAGGAAGATTTTTAATGATTTTTCAGTATATTTCTATGTTAAACTTAGATTGCCCATTATGGCCCCATCCTAGCCACAGGGTTATGATTTAAACAAACTTGAATCTGCACTACCAGAGGATTCTTCTGTATTAATATGACCAATCATGACTTTGCTGTTCTTGATAAGATTTTAAATATTTTTCCAATGTTGAACTTTGATTGCCCATTGTGGCCCCACCCTATCCCCATGGGTCATGATCTGAACAAATTAGAATCTACCCTACCTGAGAATGCTTCCATATAAATATGATCAATAGTGGATTTACTGTTCTTTAGTTTGATACAAAGCAAAGAAAAACTGGAGACCAACACCTTGAGGTTAAAATTGCGAAAGATTCTCACATGTGGATATCGAATGGTATTCAATAGGGTCTGTACCTAAAGTTGTAAACTTAAAGATATAAAACAGATCTCCAACGCTTCGTGAGAATGCAGCAGTAAATTTATTTTGTTAAATAAAGTAAATTTACTGCTGCATTATCGCAAAGTGTTGGAGATCTGTTTTATATCTTTATGTTCTTAAGTTTGGTTGAAATTGGCAAAGTGGTTCTGAAGAAGAAGATGACATTTTAAAAAGATAATGATACCATAAATGACAACAACAGAAAAATGGACAAATTTTTATCAGAAAAGCTACAAATGGTTCAAGTTCACTGCACACCTTCTATCCACAGGCAATATGTAGGTGAAGCATGAGCTAGATTAGGCCAGGAAAAGAGAAAACATTTTTCTAGGCAAGTGATAATGGGCAGAAAATGGACAGACAGACAGACCAGACTGATCATCATATGGCACCCACAGAGCAGGGGCCCTAATAAATCTGTTTATATATACCGTAAAAATTCCCTCTTTGGTCCTCCAAAATCGGATCCCAGTTCACCTGGAAATTCTACTTTAAATGGTTCCTCCAACTTAAATGAAGTCCTGTCCAAAGCCCTTAGTGCTGAGTTCAAAATGTGCCTTCTGTGAACCACAACCAACTGCTTAACATTTCCCTCCTCCTCACACTTGAGTGTGTTCATTGTCCACTTTCTTAAATCGAAGTCAATGAATTGCTGTGGTCTGTTGTTTCAAATGAAATTAGAATTCATAAAATTATAAAACAGTTTGCTTACAAGATAATAAAACAACATAATTTTATAACGAAGTTTTCACTTTAATTTTGATTTTTAAAACATTATACTGTGTTTCGACGAAACAAGCATTCCAAGTATTGCCTTAATTAGCAAAAATAGTCCCCTAGGGGTGAGTATAATCCATTTAAAATTGAAAATGCCATAATTCCGTCAAAAATCAATGAAGCAGACTTAATCTTAACTCATCAGGATACACTTACATAACAAAAATCAGCTCAATATCTGTAAGCATTTAGAAAAAAAGTGTGGAAAACCAAGTGGGACAGACTGACAGACAGACAGAAGGACAGACCAACAGATGGACAGACAGACGGACGGACAGACAGACTCAGAGGAAACCAACAGTCTCCTCTGGTTTCACTGATAGGGGACTATTAACTGAAATACTAGAGTTAATATTGGTGGAAAAATATTACACAAAATTATTGCTGCTTTTTTCAGTCAATACGGAGTTTTAACCACCTGAGTAGTACAATATTCACCGAGCCCGAAAGGCTGGGTGAATATTGTACTTCCAAGGTTGCTAAATTATCATATTGACTGCAAAAACAACAATTATAATTGTTTTATTATATAATTCAATGATTAAATGATTCAAACTCATTAAGCAGTTCATATGCCATCTTACTTGTTTACATTTATAGTCCTAGCTAAAAATGAGAGAAGCAGGGTTAAATAAACATTACCATCATATTTTAAATTTGGATTTTTTCTTAAAATCTACTTTAGTTGCTAAGACAAAAAAAAATAAACCCAGCCTCTTTTATAGGATCGATTTAGAAAAGGGAGCATTATTAGGGGAAAGTGACAGCCGAAAAAAATCTTTCAATTGATTATCTCCCATGAAAAAAGAATTCTCTTCACTTCAAATTTTGTTTTGAGGTTGGGTTAGGGATGGTGAATTTAAGGTCCATTAGTGGGGGACCATCCTTTCAATGAAAATTGTTTGTATCAATTAAGAGTAAAAATTTACGTTTAGAAAAGAAGTGTTTTTTGGGGAGGGGAAGGGGTCCCCCCCTTCCCCCCACATCACCCATGCCCCATATTATATATTTCCTAATTGTTATGTTCAAATGAGTGGAAGAATAGCTTTCAAAACTATATGAGTTGATTTGTAATTTTCCAATCTATTTTTAGACCAATGTAGAGAAAATAAATCCTTATATTCACCTGGAAGGTCAATTGCAGGTAAATGTAATGTAGTATTTTTTCTACATTGTTGGATCTCAGCCACTCAGAGAGATAGAAATTATTCAACCATATAATAAAAGTATTTATTCTTACTGCATAATTTCTAAACTAGCTCTTATAGCTGCCTGTATTTGCATGTCTCCATCTAAATCTTGACCATCACTACAATCCTGGCTTCCTGCACTCGAGATTGATACTTCACTCAAAAAAGGTTTGTTACCATTCTTGTCAGGTTTAGGAGTCTGTGAAATAATGGACAAAAACTTAATTTAATCACTCTTTCTTGTGATTAATTGATACTTTACCTATATTTACACTAGAAAACAGAGCCCTGCTTAGGGATATAGCTAACATAGGAAAGTGAGAGATGTACTTAATACATACATTAATGTTTAAAACAAAATATACCACATAAGGAGGGTGAATGGAAAAATTACTGATTCAGAAACATGTTTTAGAAATTTTAGTATTTCAAGATTGGACACACATAGAGATATACATACATACATACAGATAAAACTGTATGATGACAAAATTTATGGCTAAAGAATAGTTTTCTTATAATCACCTATACGAAATTTTGAGGTAGAATAGGCACGGCTAAAGCACGGAACTCGCACAGGTTTTTAGAAAGCCGCATAGGTTCTGCATGTCCAAGACACGGACACAGATTCTGAGTCTGAAAGTGAGGAACCCTTGCTCACAGAAACCAGTGTGGGGGCACGGAATCTGTGTCCCAGGGAGAGGTTTTTAATCAAGCGGGTTTTGCTTTAAACTATTTATTCATATCTCACAGCTTTTGACTTTTGGCTCAATCATAACTTCCTTTATTTGAATATCAAATTGGAGGGATTTATGGTCATGAGCTAAGAATGTGTCTATTTTACTCTAGTTAAAGGATATATAACTAATAGATCTCAGTTGGAATTGTTATATGTCAGTATGGAATGATTTCATCACTTTTGAACTAAATGCAGTAAGTCTAATATAGAATAAATAAGTCATTTTCAATTTTAATGATCTTTCTGTATTGCAATATGTTGACAATGAACATGATGAAATAGTCTTTGTTTATTTGAATGACTTTAGTTGGACTTTCACCAAGTAATTCCTAGACATTTTATGTTTCATCACTGTGTTACAGAAAGTTTTATTTTAATCAAATTCTTTCTCAGATTGTGCAAACTTTGATAAAATTACAATAATGAATTGTACAATATCATTAAATTCTTAATTACAAACTAGCATAAATTGTAAATGATAAAGTAAATTTTTAACAGAAAGTAAATGGACACATACATATAAGATTTTTAACTTTTAAAATTCTAAAACTAAGCATAATAATAATGTAAAGCATTGTGAAGTTTGCATGGTTTCAGTCACCAGTTTGGCATCCACAGTTACATCAGGAGATTCTCTAATGGCCCTGACCTAGATCTACACAAATGCACAGATCCCGTGACACCATATACGGTATATGTCTCACGGCTTTTTTGACACAGGTTCCAAAAATCCATGTCTCCATATATGGAAAATGACACAGGTTTCAGACACGGGTTTGCAGAATCCGCGAGTCCATATATGGATACTAGCACGGCTTTCTGACACGGATTTTGTAAAACCGTGTGATCTAATTTAAATAATTCGGCCAATATCCCATGCTGTGTCCGTGCCTTGACCACTTTAAGGCACGGCTTCCCATATATATTTTACATAGGAGCAAGAATGCTATAAGCATGGATTTCTAGAAAACAGAATCCGTGCCCGAGCCGTGTCTAAGCCGCCCGGACTTTTCGTACAGGCAAACTCCTTTTGCACAAAATGTGAAATAGTTACAAAACTTACAATTAAAACTGTTTGTCATAACATATCACTATTCATATACATGTACATATAGACATATTTACAAACTGTCAGTCAGACAAAGTGTTATGACCATATATAGATTCTTGTAAAGGTAGAGTATTCCTGTACCATAGTGTAAAGCAATACAGTGAAAACTAAGTCAATGCGTTACAACACAAGAATTGGACAGACAGACAAATGGATGAACATGGAAGAAATCTATGTCTCCTCTGGTTTCAGCTATAAGAGACTAATAATATACATTAATTTATATAAGGAGAGTATTTTCATGATTTTCATTGGCTGAAATGATGTCACGTGATATTCATACTTTTGTGATATTGAGGTGAAAGCGAGTCTGCAGAATATGATATCGCAAGACTTACAGTTCAATCGGCTGTACCAAAGTGACAAAGAACGTGACATCATAATATAAGATGCATGTTTTTACCATTGTGACATAATGACAGCCAAATCCGTTCAGTTAGGACTGTGTCAGAATATTCACCTTGAGTAATTATATAACTATTATGGTCTTCAGTGAGTGGTCAATATGTGGTTATAAGAACCAATGTCAAGTAACATGGGTCCTCATAACCACATATCGACCTACACTGAAGTCCATAATTGTAAATTGGTAAATGTTATAATAAACATGGGATATTATTTCAAATACTCACTGAAGTTAAACAAGTCTGTCTTGACTTTCTGAAAAATATTACAGGAGTACCAGCATTTTCAAATTCTGTGTCTGATCCTTCATCTGTAAAAACTGCATCAGATGTGCCTGGTAGTAACTGTGGGTTTTCCAACTGACTGGACTGGCTTAATGACTGACATTCTCTAACATCAGAAGGACCAGGAGAATTCTTTTGAAAGAAATCATAAAAAAAAAGATCAAAGCATTCCAAAATAAAAGATTTCTTGCATGTTATTTAAGTGTTGATAACAAATTGTGTCTTTCATATTGCAAACTATTACATATATTACAAACAAAATTCCTGCTTCATATTCACAAACAAACCATATAAACACTTAGCACTGTAGTGCCATGCATCTCAAAATTCCATTCAAAATGCAGCAGACACAAGGCAGTAATAAATCTCTCTCTGTTTCTGAAAAGGGTTTTTTAATACTTAGTTTTACTAAACATACCATTATTAAGGTTATGTAAAGAAAGAAGATATTAGTACCGAAATATCAGGCAGATAATTGTCATCATCATCTTCTTTCTTTGAAGCACATGTATGTAAGTATACTCTCACTGGATATGTCTTAATATGGTCAAAAAATTTTCCAACAGTAAATCCACCATCATTATGAAAGCAAGGTAGTGGATCTCCAGAAAATGATGCTAAGTAATGATTCAAGTCTGACAGCTTCACGTTCTGGGCAATAGATCTTCCCTTTGGAAAGTAGAGGTCAAGAATTTGCTTTTCAAGTTCTTCATATGTGGTATCTTTTGAAACATCAATAATTTGTTGGCCGCCACCTTTGCTCAAAGTGACAACCTTGAACAAGTCTGGATTAATAGAATGCTTCCACCCACAATACACTCTTCTAGTTGGCTTGAAGTACTTTTTCATTTTCTTTGACTTCTGTGTACGAACTCTTTCCTTTTTTAAATCGAAGAATTTCTTCATAACTGGTGAGGTTTCTTCACTTTTGGCTGAAAAGAAGATTGTTGGATTATATTTTCATTTATATATTTAGATTGCTTATTATGTTGACCTGTAGAAATTTAGAGGCGGATTCCGCCTGGAATACAGGTGGAATATGGCAGGAATTGGCAAATTTTAGACATATTTGAGGTGGTGAAGGACCTTTAAAAGTTACACTCAAGTACAAGTAGATGAGGTGTCTTTCAGGCATCATTTCTACTTTCTGGGCATCAATTGGCGAATTCAGATTTTCCTATAGTGTAAAATGGCAGGAAAATTCAGAAACAATATATGCCTGGAACTTTTAAAAAGGAGTAAAAGTCTATGATTGGCCAATTAATTATCAATTAGGCCATTCCAAGTTTTTTCTATGTTTAGTGTCCATGTGCCCCTTGGTTTTTGGCACACCATATCAGAACAAGAGGCCCATGGGCCACAACATTCACCTGAGTAATACTGGCCCAGCTGTTTATCGCCAGATTTTCCCCCTTGTCATATTTATTGCGGCCCCACTCTACCCCAAATATCTACCGGAAATATGATAACAAGCTTATTTTATCTGGAAATTATTGAAACTACAAATTTTGGAACGTGTTTGATTGACACATCCTTGCGCTTTCACCAAGTAAACTTTATCCTTAATACTTACGAAAAGTAAAAATTTTGTTGTGTGTAAATGAAAAATAGTAAAACTATAATCCAGAAAATTCAGGGTAGAAATGTGAGAAAGCAAAACCAACTCACCAGTATTCCATGCTCATTAATGTGTGCAGAGTTTATCAAACTGAACACACCAGGTGAAACATAAACATTAACAATAACAGAGCTCGTGTCATGTTTACAAAAACAGCTAGTTTACATAACAAAATTCCTACTTTTCATAAGTTTTATGGATATATATGAAGTTTACTTTGTGAAAGTACAAGGATGTGTCAATCAAACACATCCCGAAATTTGTAGTTTCAATAATTTCCAGATAAAATAAGTTTATTATTATATTTCCATGTGAAGTGCTATAGCAACGTATAATTAAGTCATGATATCATACAGAAAATTTGAGAAAATATTAACTTCAAATCTTTGTCCACGCCCCTTTAACAATTTACAATCTCCTTCACCTAAGGATGCTTAATTTTGATCGGGATCAGTTTAATTTTGATCAGGATTGGTCCAAATATTCATCTCGTGAGGTTAAACCCAGGGTTGTGAAACCCAAGCCATGATATAATTTACAATGCACCACAAAACAGTCAAAATTGTATGGTTAATCTATTACATAAATAATTTATCTAAAAAATTAAAATGTCTATCCAGTATTACTTTACATACTTTACTACACTCATATTATGCATTTATTAACAGCAACCATACATCTTGTATGGTTTTAAATCACAAAGCATCTTGTTTGCAAATAAAACATTTTTTTTTTCATTTAATTTCTCCAAAAAAATACAAAAAAAAAAAAAAAAAAAAAAAAAAAAAAATCATAAAAAATAATTAAGAGCTGATATCAGTCTTTCAAGGCTGAAATCTATATATATATATACAAAATTAAAAAAGAGATGTCTTTATTACCTATAAAATAAAATTTTGGTGTGGCATTCCTCCTTAAAGTGCTAAGCATAGATGCAGAATTTTATCGATTACTTTGTCACACCTAACTGGATTTCTTCTTCGAGGCAAACACCATTGCCCCCTCGTACAACACAATCTTGTAATTTTTAATCCATTTTCTTAAAATCTAGAGAACAGATATTTGTTACTTATATGAGATATCTCATATATAGTTAAAAAAAATCAGTTAATTACCTTGAAGATGATTTCGACAAGCTTGTTTTAATCTAAGTTGAAGTCCAATTGCTGTAACTCCAAGCTTTTCAAAATCTTTGTCTGAAAGTTCAACTACATCCTGAATTCTGATCTGAAAATGATGTACCGTACACAACTAATCTACAGTGCATTAATCTTGAAACCTTTAGGACTAGTGTACACATTAATGAAATAAATGCATTTAAACATTACTTTTACTTCTTTTTGAACTTCATTTGTGTGTAATTTGACAACATACAATATGTACACATATATGCCAATTAGATTCAAGACTGATCTCAAACACATACATGTCCATCACCCTTTGAAATGTACTTTTTGTGACACTATATGTGCATACGTCATGGGGATTTAAATATTTTTTAATAAAATTATAAATCATCCAGTGTTTTTCTAATTTTGTAAAATAATTAATGGGTAAGACAACAGACTACTGACCTGCAGATCCCAAGTTGGATTGCAAAAATGGCTTTTGCTTTTATGAATTATATGAAGTTTATTGTAGATGCAAAATTGCATTTCCCCCCATCTTTTCAAAATAAGTAAACAGTTTTCCAAAGGTTTTAAGGAGGATAACAGTAGTTTGCAAAATTTTCTGACATAATCTTTTGTAATACATGTCATATATACATAGTAAATTACAAATATGGAATTGACACCAACTAAATTCACACAAAAAACAATAAATTACATGTATTTTGGCAACGACACAAATTACTGTTTCTCTGAAAATATCTACATGTAGTAACTTTTGCATATGCAGATCTAATGGGGGTGGGGTGGGTGGGTGGAGGGGGAGAGGGAAGGGGGGTTGTATCTGAAGAATCTGAGGAAAAAAAGTGCCACCCACCCCTAACAGGTTTTTCAGATTTGATGAAGTTAATTTGTTTTGTTTTTGTTTTTGTTTTTTTTTTGGCTTGATAAAAAAATTTTGAGCTAATGACAACTGTCAGAATTGATGTGGACAACCCTGCAGGCTGTAAAACATACAAACATTAATTTTACTGAGCACCATGATTAGAGAAAATCATGATGCTTGTTACATTGACACACAGCTTATTAATCATTAAGAAGCATGATAAGTAATCATACTAATGTGTCATGTGTAACACGAGTCCTTTAATTAGTTTTTCTTACCATGTTTTCTCTGAACACATGAATTCTTTCTTTCATTCCTATCTCTTCCAATATGTTGTATATATCTGTGTCATCTGAAAATTTGCATTAGAATGATCCATGAAGATGTGCATGTGAAACACACTATATGTCTCTAATGAAGACATAGTTTCATGACACAGAGCAAATATCTATAATTATTCAAGCAAGTTAATTTTGTTAAGACTCAGCACTGTCTGCATAATGCAAAAAGAAAAAAATCTAAAAACTATGTGTACTACTTAAAATAAGTAAAGTTTAGTGTATTTGTTCCTGATAACGGTAGTTGATTTAACTATAAAAATTGAGCATAAGTCTGTATTGTTATGATGTTTTGGGTGCTGGCCCTAGACTGATTTGGCATCCCATTGAACTCAGACTGTTACACTGATCAAACTCCATTGCCCAGACACACATTTCTGGTCCAAAATCAAAAGAATATTTCAAAAATATAAGGCAGATAAAGTTTATAGTAGAATTTATTCCACTAAAATCTCGAGTCATGCTTGGAGCCCCCAATTCAGTTCAGTCATTGGAGCCCCCCCCCCCCAAGTGTAAGGTAAGGAGCACCCAAGAAAGTGGTATAATAAAAAGAGGATAAATATTATAGCGAGCGGCGCAAAGCACCGCTCGTCACTGTGAGCTCTAACGACAACGCCTGGGCGAAGAGAAAATTCGGACTACTGCACATTCATTCAATAGAATTTTTTTCCGCAGTATTTTTGGACCCACATCATCGCTTAATTAAGATACGTTCTCGCGAGAATGACAACAAAAGTTCAACAAAATAAACTCATCTTGATTTAATGGATATATTTCAGATAAATAGTAAATAAAACGTTCTTCACTAAAATCTGCCAGCGTTCAGGCTTCGGTTTGGTAATGCAACTTACATACGACGTCATGTGACGTCAGAGTCTAGACGTACCAAATGTCACGTGCGGTTTGAAAAGACGGGTCTAAATACAGTTTATAAACAGTACACTGAAAACGTATCTGCGCTCGCCCTAACGGTCGCACTGTCAACATATTAGTTTTGAAAGAATAAAGTGGTGAAAAGAGTTAGTAAACCTAATGTATTATTGTGCAATAAAAATAAAATTAGGAGTGATAGTCAGTCTTTAATCTAAGAAAAGTAATGACATCAGGATAAGTTATAAGTATGAATTTTCAATATCTAAATAGCCCTACATAATAATAATTTAACTTATACAAGATCTTCAAGTTGTACCGTAGTGCAACTTGGGCAATATTCGTCTTGCTCCCGTCTTCATTTTGTCATGTAATCTACTGATACAATTACATTATTTTTTCAGATTATTTGCTAACCCATGTTATAAACAAATCAAAATGAATTTACCTAAGTAACTAAGAAACATATTGTATGTATGTACGGTTAGACGTCTCAAAGTACTGTAGGCCTACATCATACATGTATCACCGTCATCATGATCATTTCATCGAATCACGACTGCAACTATAAGCTTTTTGAGAAAAATACCTTTTTAAACAGAAGAGCTTCACCTGTATTAGTTAATTCGAGCAAAGATTTGATCGCCCAATGAAAATAAAACTTATTTTAATTTTTGAGTTGATCATCATATTTAAATAACAAGCACGTAGCACTAGGAAGAGGGATGGAAGAAGACTTTTGTTTTGTGTATGCTTTTAATTTTCTTGATTGTGAATCCCCCCTCTTTTAAAAACCAAATCTAGATCGTGTGGATTTCGTTTTATTTTACATAGTCACATGATTAGTGTATTGTTATCTTTATTTATCAAACTATATTTTAAATCTTCTAACTAGTTATATTTCTGGCAAGAAAGACATGGTTAATTTTAATACATAAGTGAAGTTTATAATTAACCCAGTAAGGTTCTATTTCTGATTTAAAATCCGGTCATACCTTCACTACCTGACGCCATTTCTCTTCTCAATGGCGCATGCGCATAAAAGTCGATAACGCGATGGTGCGATAGGGCACTGACGATAATGCGATAGAGCACTGACGATGACACGATAGAGCATCGCGTCATCACTATCGCGCCATCGCATCATCGCTATCGCACCATCGCATCATCGCTATCGTGCCATCGCGTCATCGCGCTATCGCTTCATCCTACCATCGCATCATCGTCATCGCATTGTCGTGCCATCGCATCATCGTCATCGCGCTATCGCACCATCGCTTCATCGTTATCGCACCATCGCTTCATCGTCATCGCATTATCGCGTCATCGCACTATCGACTCAAACCTCGATGGTGCGATGATGCGATAGTGAACTGCATGGCCCTATCCGGATTCCATAGAATCGAATGCTACTAACGATATCTGAAGAAATAGCCGATAAAAGGTTTAGATCATTTCTTCGTTCACCTGCACTTAAATTTCGAACACAATAGAACTTGTAGTTTTTGCCGTGAAACTTCAAGACTTTTATAAAATTATAGGACTCACCGTAAAACTCTCCAGAAAGTTTCTCTGAGGTCTATACTACATTTGTACCAAATCTGGTGTCGATCCGAGGTCTGGTTTGAATTCTAGAGTAATATTCTATGTTGTTGTTGATGTGATTTTTTTTTTTTTTAAGAAGGGGGGGTGAATTATTTATTTTATGCCTCTTTTAAACTAAGAATTGTAACTACTTCCACATCCTTAAGCCTGATTGTGACCTTTGGGTCAAGGGTCAAAGGTCAAGGTCATTACCAAAAAAAAAAAAACCAAACAAAAAACAAGAAACAAAAAGAAAAAAAACCCCAAGAAAACTTTACTTTCTATGGTTTTCCTGATACTGGAGCTGGATGCATGTCCTTACTTTTCCATTTGACCCAAGGTCAAGGTAAAAGGTCAAGGTCAAAGTTCAAGGTCATTTGCTGAATTGCCATATTGTACACATATATAAGGAATTTCTTATGTTTTTAAATGACCTTGACCTTTGACCTTGACTATATTTCAAGGTCAAAGGTCAAATATGCCGATGTAGTTGGTCCCATGTCTCTAGGATACACCGTTTTAAAAAAAAGTTCATTAAATGTAAGCAGCAAAAACTTTCAGGGACAGTAACTGATAGAAGGGGCCGAAGAACCCTTTCGCACTGTATAGATTGAAGAGTGTACTAAATGAGTCGAAGACACTGATGAAGGTTTGGAATGTCTACGGTTTACGGTTTCGGAGGAGTAGCGATAACAAGGTTTTACTGCGAAAGGGATGACAACTTTTGAATGGGTCAAGCTTGGGGGACAAGAATGAAATTTTTATAATACTTTAAGAAGGACATATTAAATATGCAAAGATATGTAGTATATGTTGAAAGACAAAAGAGCTATAAAAAGAGCTAATTTTCTTATATTTTGAATGACCTTGACCTTTGACCTTGACCTTAAGTTCAAGGTCTAAGGTCAAAGAATCTTATGCAGTTGGTCCCATGTCTTTACGACTTGTCATTTAGAAAAGTTTTTCATTATTCGTAAACATGAGAAACGTCCAGGGGCAATAACTCATAAAAGGGGTCGACGAATGCTTTCGCAGTGAAACCTTGAAGCGAGTACTCATTTAGTTGAAGACATTGGTTAAGGTTTCGTACCTCTGCGGTTTATGATTTCGAAGGAGTAGCGATAACAAGGTTTTTCATTTAAAGGGCAAGAACTCCGAAAGGGGTCATAGGTCATACTTGTTGGGTAGTTTTTCGAAATAACTTTTGATGTCGAGTATCATGAACTATAAAGTTCTTCGAAAAGTCTTTCGGTTCAAAAGGCGGTAACGGAAAAATAATAATAATAATAATAAACATAAGCATTTCAATAGGTCTTTCCACAGAAAGGTGGAAAGACCTAATAATAAACAGAAGCATTTCAAGAGGTCTTTCCACAGAAAGGTGGAAAGACCTAATAATAATAAGAAACAGTAGAATCACTAGAAGGTCTTCCGTGAAAACGGAAGACCTTAATAATAATGATAATAAAAATAAATGGAAATAACTATTGTTAATTGATAAAACGTCGTCGACATATTTGAATGGCGAATTGAAGGCCACGGCAAGTGTTTTCTTCTTCTCATGTAGAAGTTTATGAAAAAATTCTGCTTCATACTAATAAAAAAACCCAGGCTAATAAAGGAGCAGAATTAGTGCCCATCGGTATTCCAACAGTGTGTTGGAAGACTTGGTCTCCAAAGACTATACAAATGTTGTCAACGAGGAACTCCAGCATCTTTTTAATATCAATTTCAGAGAACTTGTGTGTAGAATCTGAGTGATTTTTAACGAAGTACTTTGGTTGATGACCAATCACAAGAGGTGAAAATTTCCGAGTTCCTTTTTATTGAAGAAACAGTTGTCTATGATATCAAAAAGCCTACTTTTTAATTTATTGTGAGGAATGGTTGTGTAAAGTGTAGAAAAGTCGTAAGTTTTGATGTCAAAGACTTCAGAAAAAAATCTGATTTCAGACTTTTTAAAAGTTCTAAAAGTGTAAAGTTTTTTGAGGATCCACATTTACACCACTTCTAAAGTATGCTGTTGCACAGTACTTCTGAAGTTTCTCCTTAACAGCATATATATTTTGGTAAGGAGTTTAGGGCTTGTTAGAGCATTTGCTGGACCCGGCAATATATCTTTGTTTGTAAGGATTTTTAGTTTAGGAATCCAGTATAGGTAGGGTAGATCGAACTCGGTTGACTGGAATGTTAAAAATATGAAACACTGAAATGTGATTTTAAAGATTTTCATCCTTGGCAAGTGAACTGCGGGAATATATAGGATTTCCAGACGTTCTTCCAAGTTCTTCCAAAATACAATTATAAAAATTAGTCTTACAAACAAAGACGATATTGTTACCAGGCTTGTCTGCTGGAACCATTACATATTGTTGATGTATTCTCTCCAATTCTTTTAACATCTCCGATTTAGTGAAAACGCAAGGATAGATGGTTCGCATTTTGCCTTTTAATTTTTGTATATGATTCTTTAATATACAGTGTATTTCTAAAACATTTAATCCATTCTGACAGAGTGTTCAGGTCTTATTTTTTACATTTAGCCCAAAGCTTGGCATAATCTTCAATAGAATTCATAATAGAAATGTCTGTTAGAAAAGTTCTATCGCCAATTAAAAGAACGGGGCTCCCTGTATTTAGGACCTTTTACGATGATCGATTTTAGGTCTTCATTTTCAAGTTTTATAACGTCACCAGTAATGACGTGTCCAGCGGAACTGCAGTTGAAAGAAAAAAGAAGAGCATGAACACTTAAGAAGATTTTGTTTTAGAATTTCAATATATGGGCACTGTAGGGTTTGTTTGTAATCGAAAAGCCTGAGAGTAACCGTTTGGGAATATCTGTAGGAAATGCAGCGTGTAGACTTATTTAGAAAGTTGGTTACCTTGTTTGTCTTTGAGAAGAAGATTTAATGTCCGATATTTTCCTGCCATTATAGTTTCCTTGCCTTTATAATCGAAAAAAATTGATCATGTCTTGCAGCCGCTCTCTTTTTGCTTCTTCTGCTAGTTTTTCGGTATAATCTCTTTTTTTTCTCACGTTCACGTTTTTCTTTGCTTCGTCTAGTTGTCTGTACACTTCCTTAGGTTTCTCGTAAAGTCTCAGCTTTCCCCTTTCTTTCTCATCTGATTTCCTGCATATGTTTTCTGAAAAGGATTTCTCCTGTTTTCTTTCCTTCTGTCTCCTGGAGAACCAAAATAGAGCAGTTCATTTGTACATCGTTTTCCTTAAGAGAAACGATTCTGTTCTTGGTCTCTAATCGGAATGCTCTCTTGATTTTAGGGTTCTTCAATTTTTAGCTCAAGTAAGCTTTTTTGATAAAATTTGTCCGTTCTCCGTCGTCGTCGGTGTCGATGTTGTCGTAATTGTTGTAAACTTCACATTTTCATCTTCTTCTCAAGAACCATTATACCATTTTCAACCAAACTTGGCACAGAGTATCCTTTGGTAAAGAGGATTCAGATTTGTTCAAAGAAAGGAAAACACTCTCTTCTGAAGGGTGATAATTAAGAAATAGTGACAATTGAGTGGGGTCATTTAAAAATCTTCTCAAGAACCACTTAGCCACAAAAGATGAAACTTTTGTGAAAACTTCCTAACACAATGTAGATTTAAGTTTATTAAAATCATGACCCGCAGGGAAGGGCGGGGTAGCAATGGTCGATCAATATTTTGCGTAGAAATTCATTAAAAAACTTAAGATATCTTTTTTTTCAAGAACAGCAAAACCATGATGAGTCGTTTTAAAAGATAGAATAGACTCAAGTTTGTTAAAATTATTACCCCCGGGGATAGGATGGGTCACAATGGGGGATCAAAGTTTTACATAGAAATATATGGGAAAAAATCTTTACAGACTTTTTCTTAATAACAGCAAAGCCGAGTTTAGTCATAAATATATGAAAGCACCCTCTGTTAGTGTAGACTCAAGTTTTTCTTCAAATCTAACCCCCGGAGGTAGGGTAGGGTCACAATTGGGGATCAAAGTTTTACATAAAAATAAATATATATATATATATTGATTGATTGTTGTTTAAATGTGCTTGGACACAGATTTGAAGTTAATATTTGCTCAAATTTTCTGTATAATTTCATGACTTATATGTTGCTATGGCATTTCATACGAAAATTTGATAAAAATCTTATTTTATCTGGAAGTTATTTAAACTTTGAATTTCTGGACGCGTTTGATAGATACATCCTTGCACTTTCACAAATTCTAACTTTATCCTTATTACTTTAGAAAAGTAGCAAATTTGTTGTTTATTAATGAAAAATATTAAAACTGTAATGCAGAAATTTCAGAGTAGGAATGTAGAAAGCAAAATCCTCTCACCAGTATTGTCAGTCCGTGCTCAGTGGTGTGTGAAGAGTTTAACAATTGAACACACCCGGTGAAACGTAAACATTAACAACAACAGAGCTCGTGCCCTGTTTACAAAAACAGTTTACGTTTCACGGGTGTATTCAATTTGTTAAACTCTGTACACAACTACACAACATTGAGCACGGGCTGACAATACTTAAATGGGGTGGGTTTTGCTTTCGCACATTTTACTCTGAATTTTCTGGATTATAGATGTAATATTATTCATTAATACACAACAAAATTGCTACTTTTCTTAAGTATTAAGGATAAAGTTAAAAATTGTGAAAGTGCAAGGATGTGTTAACCAAACGCCTCCCGAAATTCGTAGTTTCAATAAATTCCAGATTAAATAAGTTTTTAATTTTTTTTTCGTGTGAAATGCTATAGCAACATATAAGTTGTGATATTATACAGAAAATTTGAGAAAATATAAATTTCAAATCTGTGTCTATGCACCTTTAACGTCCCTCTCGAGAATTTTTCACTCATATGGAGACGCCACCACTTACCGGTGGAGGGCTACAAATTCTGACCTATACTCGGCACTTACGGCCATTGAGCAGTGAGGGATCTTTTTCGTGCCAGCACCTACTGCGACACGGGACCTCGGTCTATACGGTCTCATCTGAAGGACCGGTCTCCACGTCCCACAGTGGGATTCGATCCGGGGCGTAAGGATCAACTCCTTACTCCGCGACTCTAGAGCAGACGCTCTAACCACTGCGCTACGCGGGCGACCATAAAAATGTATAGGAAAAATCTTTAAATCTTCTTTCAAGAACAGTAAAGCCATGTTTAGTCATATTGATATGGAAGCATCTTCAAGTTGTTTAGTTTCAAGTTTGTTCAAATCATAACCCCTGGGGTAGGATGAGGCCACCACAAGGGGAGATCAAAGTTTTACTCAGGAATAGATAGGAAAAATCTTCTTTTCAAGAACAGCAAAGCCATGATTAGTCATTTATATATGCAAGTATCCTCAGGTAGTTTAGCTTCAACTTAGTCAAAGTCATGACCCCCTGGCAATCTTAACTTTGCATAGCAAAAATAGGAAAAAATCATTAAAGAACTTCTCGAGAACAGCAAAGTCTCTCACCATTATTGTTGCCCTTGTTTACTCATTGTACTTTCCTGGTCTTTACTGGGTGATCGTACTTTAGCATATCAAGGTCCCTATAATGAGTAATACATCATACAAAGCAAAATGAATGGTTCACAGCGATTAATATTAGCGAGTTAAATAGGTTGCGAAACTCGCGGATATTTCTCGGACGCGAATAAAAGTTGCTTTACAGTATTCTCAAGAACCACTGGGCCAATTTTAACCTGACTTGACACGAAGCATCCTTTGGTGAAAGGGATTTAAGTTTGTTCACAGGAAGTGCCACGCCCTCTTTCAAGGAGAGATAATTAAGAATTCGTAAAAATAATGACATCTTTTAAAAATCTTTAAAGACATAATGAAACTTATATGAAAGGTTCATTACATTTTCCAGATTCAAGTTTGTTCATATCATATCCCCGGGGAAACAGGGCGGGGAAACAAGAGGGGGTCGAAGTTTTACAATTGTCTTTAAAAATATTCTCGAGAATAGAAAGGCCTTGATTAGTCACATTATTATGGAAGAATCCTCAGTTAGTGTAGATTCAATTTTTTCCCAATCATGACCCCTGTGGGTAGGACAGGGCCACAAGTGGGGGTCAAAGTTTACCATAGGAATATATAGGAAATATCTTTAAAAATCTTCTCAAGAACAACTAAGCAATTTTTATTCATATTAATATAGAAGTATATTCAGGTAGTGTACATTAAAGTTTGTTCAAATTATGAGCCCTGGGGGTTGAGCGATGACACAACAAGGGGCCAATGTAAATAGGAAATATCTTGACAACTTCTCTTCTCAAGAACAGCTAAGCTACTATAAGTCATATTAATACCGAAGTACCTTCAGGTAGTGTAGATTCAAGTTTGTTCAAATCATGACACCCAGGGGTAGGGCGGGGCAACAACAGTGGGTCAAAGTTTTACATAGGAATATATAGGTGTAATGGTTAAGGGGCATTTGCGTAAAAAGCATTGAAGACTTAAAATAGTGGAATGACCTGACAACCCTTGGGATAGACTAGCCAATGGGTATATAATACAAAGCGTTGGGAAAGTCAGGTGTTCAGAAGCTAAGAGAAGAAGTTGACCATTAAGTCAGCCTTAAAGAAGTTAAGATTAAGAGCAAAATAAAAGTATAAAAGATATAAGCACCAGTGGTAAGTATCCTTAAGGAATTGATGTTAAGTTCTGGGTGTAGTAAATCTGAAGAAGATTGAGGCATTAAGATGCTAGCCGAAGAAGTTGGCCATTGAATCAGTAATAAAGAAGTTAAGGGTAAGAGCAAAATAAAAGTATCACAGGGAAAAGAAGTTAAGTTCTTGGTGTAGTTAGTGTGAGGAAGATTGAGACACCGGTCTTATCTATCAATAGGAACTTAGGAGAGAAACACGGTGCAAGCAGTACATTACCCAGTCCCCATCTCTAGATGAAAGAAAAAATTTAGTAATGTGTGATTTAACCTCAGACAGAGCTGTCTTGATGATCATTCCAATCATTAACTCACAAAGAGTAAAAGAAAAACCTATATATTCCTTGTAAAACCTGATCATACACATTACATAGGAAATATCTTTTAAAATCTTCTTCTCAAGAACAACTAAGCTATTATTAGTGATATTTATACAGAAGCAAACTTAGGTATTGTAGAACCAAGTTTGTTCAAATTATAACCCCCAGGGGTTGGGGGGGGGGGCACAACAGAGGGTCAAAGTTTTACATAAGAATATATAGGTATCATCTTGAAAAAAAAATCTGCTCAAGATCTAGAACAGCAAAGCCAGGATCAGTCATATTATTATGGAAGCATCCTTAGGTAATGTAGATTCAAATTTGTTCAAATTTAGGCTGAGTAGGGTGGGGCAACAATGAGCGATCGGTCAGAGTTTTACATAGGAATACATAGGAAAAAAATCTTTAAAATTCTTCTGCTCAAGAACAGCAAAGCCATGATTAGTTATATTGGTATGGAAGCACCCTGAGGTAGTGTAAATTTAAGTTTGCCCCCCCCTCCCCTCGTAAACTTTTATAATACTGGACTGCTTTCTGCTTTTTCCTAGCAAAATGCTCAGGTGAGCAATGTGGCCCATAGGCCTCTTTATCCTACATATATGTTTTGTATCTCTTCACCAAAGGCGATGTTAAACTCACAACTCGTTGGATAAAATCACATTCAATTAAAAACCATTGGATGTCCTATATATATTGTTAATAACGCTTTCTTCTAATTTAGATGTAGCAAGATGCAAAAATGCGACTTACGAATATCCATTCACACTGGAGATTGATTTGGACTTCTACAGATCACAACATAAAAAATTGATAGGCCGTGAATGGCTTTTGAATGAACTAGATGAAAAGGTGCACTTCTCAAGACGAGGAGTGCTATTCATTGCAGAAATGGGATATGGGAAATCTGCCCTAGTCTCCCATCTAATCTGTCAGAGCGATAAACGCCTACCCGGAAATTGGATCTATGAGCATATTGTTGTGTATCACTTGTGCAACTTTGATTCTCAGAAGACCCTTTCTCCTGGTAATTTTGTAAAAAATATGGCAGGTGGTTTTGCAAAACGAGTTCCAGGATTTCTTGAAGTTCTGAAACAGAATTCCAATTTTCATAGGTACTTTGAGCAAGACTTTTGTACTGAAGACCCAGAGGGTTGTCTCGACGTTTTAATTCTAAAAACTTTAAATTCTATTGGTGATTTAG